CGAACACGTTCGCGCCACGCGTGCTCCCGAAACCGACGCGGACTCATGCACGGGCACGCCCTCCTCTCTCTCTCCCGACAGGAGGCAGGGGCGCCCCCGAGAATAAATATGCTGCTCCCATCGTGCTCAAAGACCACATCCCAAAAATGATTTCGAGCACCCGGAAACGTGTCGAAAGAATCTCGAAACAGTGCCGGACGAGCGTCTCCCAGGGCCCGGCACGTGAACACCCTCGAGTTTCGGTGCTTTTTTGGTGCTCGACTTCTTTCCTTGTGATCAAGGCTAAAGTAGGGTGGAACATCATCATAACCCGAGAAGCGCTCCCCACGTCGCCCCCCCCCCCCTCTCTGCGCCCCCCCACCTCTCTGACCAGGGCCGCGTCGCCAACATCGGTCCAGGACCGCCCCGCGCCCCTGTGCCGCTGCCGCCGATTCGACCGCGGCTGAAAGCTTTACTGGCTACTGTTAGGTCGGGCATGTCCTCCAAGAGGCGGCTTCTGGAAGGACGAATAATCCAAACATGCTCAAACATAGTTGAAAACAATCGAAGAATTCGTCCTGATACTATTTTGTTGACTAGTTTCGTATATTTCGCCTGTAGAGGAACCTGCCCGACTTAGGCGACTGTCCTTTAACCTTACGTAGATGCCCGTGCAGAGCTTTCGCTGTACGGCTGTCCGTGCAGCCAGCTGACCGTGCCTCACTGTCTCTCTGCCAGTCGCGTGCCACAATTTGTTGACAAGCTATGTGCTTCATCAGTGCCGCAATCCAAACAGTCCTCCCCTCTGCACGAGCGCCGCCCTCTCTGCAGGAGAGCCTAGAATCGGATCGACAAATCGGATCGGCGATTGAGATGAATCGGATCGGCAGAAATCGGCAGCCGAGTCGGGAAAAGTCGATTCGGCGGACATCGGCGGGCTAGTAAGCCTCCAGTAAGGAATCGGAGGCCAGGAAGCCGTGATTGAGGAATCGGAGCCCACATCGGAATCCCAGGCCGAATCGCTTCGGAATCGGAGGCCATCGACATCGAATCGAGTCGAACCGCAGGAATCGTGACGAGCCCTGCGCGTGCCCGCCCCCTCCGGATTAACCCGGATCGACCCCGACCTGCCTGGAATTGCCTCGACCTATCTGCGGCTGCCTGGCTCTCTCCGGCTCCGTCCCCACGAGTCGACTGGCGCCAAGTCGACCAGCCGCCAGGCAATCCCCCCCTGAGGGCCACCGCGAAGTCTCCGAGCGGGCCATCCAAATCATGTGAGCGCCGTCGCGTTTGGGCTCCCGGGCCGTGGATCTGCAGGAAGACGTCTCGAACAGGAACCTCGTCTTTGGGTGATTCGTGGGGAGATCTCCAACGGCATCTCCATCTCCTCAAAGGGCCGCCCGTCGAGTGGCGACTGGGCCGCCGCGACGGCCGCCCCCTCCGAGCCGCCGCTCCTGCGGCGCGCCGCCCGAGGGCGCGGGCGCGGGCGCCCGCGGCGGCGGCCGCGGCCAGGCCTCGGCGCGCCCCCGGGGGCGGGCCTCCGCGAGCGCGTGCGCCTCGGCCTCCACCGCGCAGGGCAGGGGGGCGCCCAGGGATCGAGGAGGAGGAGGAGGAGGAGGGGAGGAGGAGGAGGAGGAGGAGGAGGGAGGAGGAGGAGGAGGAGGAGGGGGAGGAGGAGGAGGAGGAGGAGGAGGAGGAGGAGGAGGAGGGGGGTGGGGGGGTGGGGGGGGGCCTCCGCGAGCGCGTGCTCCTCAGCCTCCGCGGCGCAGGGCAAAGGGGCGCCCAGGCATCCAGACCCCTCGAATCATGACGACAAAAATCACGACGGAGGGTTTCTCGCTATCTTCGGCCTCCGGGGGCCCTGACTGGGCCTCGGGACCGTCAGAAAACGACTCAGGACGGACAACGGGTCCCGGGGAATGGGTCCAGACCTCTGGGGGTCGACCTTGTTCAAAATCATGACGTGAGGGGTCTGGGGATCGAGCAGGAGGTCGACTGCAGAACTGATCTACCCCAAAAACTGATGTGTTCGCCGAAGTACAACAAAGTACGTGTAATGTTCGTTGACCTACTAATATTTCATGCGAGCGACAAACAGAAAACGCGTCTTACGCGAGATGACGCAGCGACCTTACGCAGTGGCTTACGGGGGCCACCAGCGCGGCAAGTCACAATGGAGACGAGGTCCTTACGCAAGACATTACGCGCGAATGTCGGCGCGGTCGAACCCATGTGTTGCGTAACTCATGCATATTTCGCAGATTCGACACCAGAAAACCATTAGGGGTGAATCGATTCTGCAGTCGATCTCCAATTCGAAGGGATGCACAAACAAGTCGACACACATTCCTGAATCCCCCGTATTTTTTCCACATTTCCTGGATCGTCCCAGGCCCCTCTGTTCCACATGCTTCCGTATTCTCTCAAGGACATCAGCGTTTCCCCCCCCCTGCGCAGAGGGCGCCCGTGCACCACCACCGTGCCAGGCTGGTGCCGCCCCGAGGCCCAGCACGGCGCAGAGGCACGCAGAACTGCACAAGCAGACACGTTCGGAGCGCCGCGCGGATTTCTTCGGCCGGCGCTCAGCGCCGAGCCCCCCCTCCAGGGTTTCCGAATGCAGGACCAGGACAGGAGAGGGGAGCTTCTTAATGAAGGAACGCTGCAACCACAAGTAGTTTTTCAAAACGCACGACCCTGTTTTGATTCTTGTTTGGGGGCATGTGACAAGGTGGGCGGAGAGGATTTTTGGAGGATGTTCTGGGAAGTCGCAGACCTACAGAACCTAGCGGGTAGCGAGGATATAAGCCTCGACCCCGCTCCCTCTCGCGCTCAGGGCGCGCAGCGCGCCAGGGGCAGCGTCCGAGGCGACGCCAGGGGGGCCCAGCGCCGACCCCGGAGATTCGCGCGGAGCTCCCAAAGTTTCTGTTTGCGCTGCGTTGTCCTGCTGGGATGCTGCGTTTTCCTGCTCGAATGCTCGTTTTCCTGCTCGAATGCTGCGTTTTCCTGCTCGAATGCTCGAATGCTGCGCCCTCCTGCAGCCTCGGCCAGGACGCCTAATTACCCAGACATGCGACGCCCTGATTTCTTTCGTACGGTCACCCAGGCATGCGACGCCCTGGTTTCTTCAGTACGGCCCCCCAGAGGTCCCGACCCCTCCCCTGGGGCCGGTGTTTCATCGCATCGCATCGCCGGCGGCACGACGGCTGTCTGAACTATCACGGGGCGCCTTCACACCTCGTGGCAAGCATTTGGACGCCTCCTGATTTACAACTCAGGTGGCGACATCCGAACCCTACCCTCGCCCCCAAACGACCTGAATCGTTATCGGCGAGGGTAGGGCTCGCAATTCAACGCCAGAAGCTGTGGCGGCCGCTGGTTCCTCACCGCGAGCTGCCTCTCTTTGGCGGCCCCTGGGGCCTGGCGAGGGCCGCTGTAGAGGCCGAAGCCTCTCGGCGGTGGCGTGCAGATGCCTTCGGCGAAGCCGCACATCGTGCGCCTCGATTCCTTCAAGGCATGGGCCCCCGACCTCTCGACCACTGCCCGGGGACCTCCCTGGTGTGAAAACATGCAACGCCCGGATCGCGGGGCCCTGCTTATCCTCCCACCGACGTCATGACTGTTTCAGATCGTCGACCCCAGAAATCTCGACCTATTCCCCGAGACCGGTTTTTCACCCCGAGTCGTTGCTTGACTGTGCCGAGGCCCGGTAAGGGCCCCGAAAGGCCGAAAGCGATATAAAACATATCCCCTGAGATCCGGGCGTTGCAATTTTGTCACGACGGATAGCTTTATCGCTCGGCTTTCGGCCCCGTCGCAGATTGATCTGGCTCGGAAAAATGCAGCCGAGAGATGGGGTCAAGGGCTCTGGTCGTGATTCTTCACGATGCTGCAATTTGCTCGTGCCGTCGGGTCCCAGGTAGAGGAAGACAGCAACTGCATAAACATAAACTTTCGACGGTCCGCGCATATTTCTTGAACTGACGCTGGAGCCCCCTTCCCTGCGGCGTTGGAGGCGCCGCCAGGGGTGCCCAGCGGGGGCGCGGGTGGGGGCTATCGGGCCCCTATCGGCGATGAATGGACGATTGGGTGCATATGCATCCGCCCACTGAGTCTGTCCCTGTGCCGAGTGGTTTTCTGGCTATAACTCGGCTCTCTGGCGGCCGTTCGGGACGACTCGGGCACTCCCAGAACGCTCTCGGCGAGGCGCAGCCGCTGGGAAGCATCCCGAGGCTAGAAAACCGCCGAGAGCCGACGAAAACGCCCTGAAAACCTGAAATTTAAAACCTCACCCCTGAGCCCTCAGGCGACGGTGATTGGAGAGGACACGCGAGAGGACACAAGACCCTTCCGAGGGCCACACTGCCACAATTAGGAGTGTAGCAGGCACGGGTCGCGAATTCCAGGACACGAGGGACTTTGAAACTTAGAACCCCTGAGCCTTTCCCCCCCTACCCTTTCGGGAGCGGCAAAGAGGGGGGCGTCCAAGAGGGGGGGATGCAAATCATGGCCGGCGGCATGTGCGCGGTCCCTGGGGGGGGGGGGCCGGGGACGTCATGAACTAAGAAGAAGCGCCACGACACCTGGGGACATGCCATGGCCCACGCCCTGATGTCCACCCCCCCTTGTCACCGCCCCCCCTCTCTGCCGCGCCCGACCCGTGTCCCTCGGGGGAGCCCTTTTCGGGGAGACGTAAGACTCGGGTGCGGGGGTCCCGGGTTGGCCTGACGGGGCCATCATAAAAATGACGAGACTCAATCTGAAATTTGACGCGAACTCCCGCTGGAAGCATCCCGCGAACAAAATGGACCGTCAAAATATCCGGGACGCGCTCGTCAAAAAACGTCGGCAAGCCCGAGTTCCGGCTTACTCGAGCCTTACGCTTCCCCGACCTCTGCGCCTCGGAGCTCAGCCGCCGGCGCGCCTCCGCGCCGCGGCCGCGCGGTGCCCCCGGCGGCGGGGAGCCGCGCGGCCGCCGCGCGGCCTCGCGGCCGCGCGCGCCCTCGCGGCCGCGGGCTCCGAGGCCGCGCGGGGCCGCCCGGCGGCCGAGCCCCCCTTGGGGGAGACCGAGAGGAGCACCGGGAGGGAGAGGAGGAGGAGGAGGAGGAGGAGGGAGGGAGGAGGAGGGGGAGGAGGAGGGAGGGGGAGGAGGAGGAGGAGGAGAGGAGGAGGAGGAGGAGGAGGAGGAGGAGGAGAAGGAGGAGGAGGAGGGGGAGGAGGAGGGGGAGGGGGAGGGGGAGGAGGAGGAGGGGGAGGGAGACCGAAGGATGCGCGAGGAGGGTGCGAGGGCCTCGGGCGCCCATGTCGAGGCTTGTCGAGCGGGGCCGCGGCCAACGAAGGTGGCCAAGGATGGCCCGAGGAGGCAGGCATGCAAGGGGTACCCTCGGGAAGGTCGCCCGTCCTTACTAGGCGGGTTGACTGCAGGGCAGCGAGACCGACAGGGCAGCGAGAGACAGGCCTCGGCAGAAATGAGCGAACGCTCATGCCACACTCATCTGTCAATGCCCCCCCCCATGATCAATGTTGGCGGTGGGTTGACGGAGTTGCACTTCGACCGCTGTCTTCCCCGCGTGTGCCAATTTTGAGTCTGGGGGAGAGGGGGAATGTTCGCAAATGGTGACCCCCCTACCGAATCCATACCCAGACTCCCTCATGCCATGAAAAAAAACACGGCGGAAATTATTGTCGCTGTTTTCGGCCTCAGGGGGCCCTTGCCAGGCCTCTGGGCCGTCCAACAAGTAGCCTGGCGACGAACCCAACCTTATCAGCTGCAAGTGACGCAGGATCTGACACTATACTCATAAGTAACGCGCCGCGGCAACAGTGGAGCCGCGGGCAATGCGGATGAGGTCCACGACTTGCGTGAGCTTCTTGGGGGTCACGAAGTGTGATGGGTGCGCGAGAGTGGGCGGGGTATTGCCATGCGGACGCGGCCACTTGGGCTCTTGATCGAGCTCTCTGGAGGCCACGAAACGTGCGAAGGGTGTGCCGACACGAGCGGGGTGGCGCCGTGCGCACGCAGCCAGTCAAGACTTCGGTGGAGCTCCCTTTGGGGTCACGAAAATTGTGAGGGGTGCGCCGAAATGATGGTGATGATCAATGGAGATGGTGGTCACGAATATCAAGGCTATGATACTGACGACAAAGATACACATGGTGAAGATGATGCTGGTGACAAGGATGAGGAGGAGGAGGAAGAGGAGGAGGAGGAGGGGAGGCGGAGAGGAGGAGAGGAGTAAGAGAAAGAGACGCGCGGCGCTGCGAATTCAGAACGAGGACCCAACACACAAGAAAGTTGGGAATTACTCGGGAGGAACAACTGGTCCCCAGGAAGGGGTCCACATCTATGAAGGTCCACGTCATGAAACAAAAACACGACGTCGTGTGTCTGCGTACATCTCCACTGCCCCAATCCTGGCCAACCTTAGGCCCGAGAGCGTCAAGATGATCCCGGGTCGAGGGTTCAAAGGCCCCACCCCAGATGGGATGGGCCCCAGGGTTCCACAGGCCCCCGCCCCCAGCTGGGATGTGGGGGTGACGACGAAGACGAAGACGCATACGGCGACGACGCTGACGGAAGACGGCGACGACGAAGCACCCCACACCCACAGGGAAGGGGGGGAGAGGTGGGCGGGGGTACTGGTACCTCCCACCACGCCACGCCCACAGGGCCACGACCACATGGATGGGGGGAGGGAGGGGCGATCCCATTCGCGAGGCCTTCGAGAGGCTGACGGCGTACCCATAAGCATTGGGGCGGGGGCGGATCTCTGGATCATTCATGTTCCCTGGTCGAGGGTTCACAGGCCCCCCCCTGATGGGATTGGTCCCAGGGTTCCACAGGCACCCCCTTCCAGATGGGATGGGGTGGGCAGGACGGCGCCGACGCCGACGCCGACGCCGATGCTGACGCCGATGCCGACGCCGATGCCGACGCCGATGCCGACGCCGTCGCCGACGCCGACGCCAATGCCACCGACGCCGACTGATGACGACGCCGACGACGACGACGACGACGACGGACGACGGACGACGACGACGACGACGACGACGACGACGACGACGACGACGACGACGACGACGACGACGACGACGGGGGCGACGACGACGACGACGACGACGACGACGACGACGACGACGACGACGACGACGACGACGACGACGACGACGACGGGGGTGCACCGGCACCCTCCACCACGCCACGGCTACAGGATCTTACAGGACCACGACCAAAGGGGGGGGGGCGATCCCATTCGCGAGGCCTTCGCGAGGCTCACGGGCGCACTCGTCCAGCGGGTGGGGGGGGAGCTCGATCCCATATGCATTGGGGCGGGGGAGGGGGGGCAACCCTGGATCATCTATGCCTCCCTAGCCGTGCCAGGAGGGCGTCTACACCACTGCTGGGCCCATGATGGTCCAGGCCCGGGGCATGCCGATGTGTCTAGGCCTCGCCCCCCAGGGGAGGCCTACAGAACAATTGGAAGCCTCCCAGGTGGGGTCCGAGCAGATGGCGACGGTCGGAGGATCGCGCCGTATCGCCAATGAAAAGCCGATGCATCACCGATGCATCGACGACTCCCACGACGACGACGATTCCCACGACGACGACGACGACGACGTTTTCCACGACGACGACGACGACGACGACGACGACGACGACGGGGGCGATTTCCACGACGACGACGACGACGACGACGACGACGACGACGACGACGACGACGACGACGACGGGGGCGATTTCCACGACGACGACGACGACGACGACGACGATGCATCGGCGACGTTTGCACTGCACCGGAGCCATCGGCGTGGAGAAAATCGGGCTCCACGTCGCGCCGCATCGCCGATGCATCGGCGAAGCGGCGCGATCCTCCGATCCCGCCTGCTCGGACTCCATGTGGGAGGCCTAGACCGACAGAGATACCGATGCCGCTACGATAAAGAGGAACAAACCCAAGGTTCCGAAACTCCCGAAAAATCGGAGCGACCAGAATTTAGCAATTTTCGACCCCAGGGCCCTCCACGGGTCTCGGGACGGTAACAACAACTACTCAGGACGAAAAACTGGTCCCATAGGAAAGTCGTCCAGACCCCCAGGGACCCACGCACCGAAAACATTGGAGCGTCGTATGTCTGTCTAGGAACATGCGTTGATTCTACCCCACCAGAGTACCCCAACTCGCCATCGCTCGGACGTCGATTCCCTGTGCATTTTCCGATTTACTGCATGTTTTTTGCCAGATGGTCCAGGATGCTCCTCGATGGTCGTTGCCGAGAAAAATGCACACGTCCGAGCGATGCCAAGCCAATTGCAGCCAGGGTGAATAAGAGGGTCGAGGGGAAGATCGGCGAATGAGAGCGTGCCGGGACAGGCGTGGGAGCACAGCCGTTGGCACCATAATGCATTTTTTACTAGAGGATCGTGGCCGCTCGGAACAAAAATGTAGACGGATACAGTCGGACCTAGGCCAGAATAACATCCTTCAAGAACATGAGTCCCTCCGTCGGCCAAAACAAGCAGAACCTTACCCTCCCAAGGATGCACAATAACATCCAACAAACACGAAGAACGCCAGGGTACCCTCCCCGAACCGACCTCGATCTTCTACCTCGGTCCGACTGTAAATTGTGAGGAAGTCTCAGGCAAAGAGGTTGCCAGCACTGGGCGTTCTCGGGCTCCCCGTCCCCGTGTGGGACTCTTCTGCGGTCCTCTCCTGCCTCCGTTGCACCCTGGAGCGACACGCGATTGGAAAATGTGCACAATCTGCCGGAGTTCCGCGCGGATTTCTTGGATCTGCGCTTGGCCCCCTCAGTGCGCGGAGCGCGCCAGGGGCGGCGCTGGAGACGCCGCCAGAGGGGCCCGGTGCAGATCCAAAAACATCCGCGCGGAGCTCCGAAAGTGGACGTGTAGCAGTTCTTCCTCTTCGAGCTGCGTTCCGGCCACGATCCCGAGGCGAATTCGGCCGTGGCGACGAGGGCCTCCTGGGGGGGGGGCATAAAGGCCAAAACTCGGGCGGGTGGCCATGGGGTGCTAACTGAACGGGGGGTGAAGAAAAGAGCCCGGCAGTTGCCCTTTCGGGCTCCTCTTGGAGAGGGGCCCAAACGGGGGTGCCTGAAAGGCCCCTTTAGGGCCCTTTTCTGCACCCCAAATGAAGGTCACTCCCCACTGCCGCCCGCCCGAAGAGAACCAGGGAAGGGCAGCGGTATCTGTGCTTTTCCTCCTGAGACCTCCTCGTCGGTGGCGCAGCCGCCGCCGCCGCCGCCCTCGGTGAAGGCGACGCCTGCGCTGTGCGCGGCAGAGGCGAGGGCCACGACGACGCACGTCGTCGTCGTCGTCGCCGTGGAAAACGTCATCGTCGTCGTGGGAATCGTAGTCGTCGTCGTCGTCGCCGTCACCGTCGCCGTCGCCGTCGTCGTTGCCGTCGCCGTCGCCGTCGCCGTAGCCGTTGCCGCCGCCGCCGTCGTGGAAATCGTCGCCGTCGCCGTCGTCGTCGTCGTCGTCGTCGTCGCCGCCGTCGTCGTCGTCGCCGTCGTCGTCGCCGTCGTCGTCGTCGTCGTCGTCGTCGTCGTTGGGCGACGCCTGCGCTCTGCACGGCGGAGGCGGGGGCCGCGAGCGGGGCGGCGGCCCCGAGGCCGACGTCGAGGCTCCACTGCCGCTCCAGCTCCAGCGGGAGCCCGCTCCTACGAGAACAAAGGTAGTCACCGACAGTTATACAGCCTGCGAAATGCTTAAGAAATCATGGGTTAAGAAATTCATAGTCTCAGATCTTGAATAAAAACCCAACAGTTCTACTAAAAACTTAGGATTTACACTGAAACGTTAAGAACAATCGAGACTCTGGCCGAAAACTTAAGTATTCTTAAGCATCGCCTAAGGTGTACAGAGGACAGCACAACCTATACGGCCCATGCCGAGCCAGGACGTCCACACTTCCGACTGGGTGCTCCACGCGCTCCTGGCGGGGGGTGGGGTGTGTGTGGCTCTTCGGGGTTCTTGTGGGCCACTGGGCCACCCCCACCCCCAGCCAGGACCCCAGGAGCACCGGGTCGGACGTGGGGGTCCTCGCTGGGTGGGGCGGGCCGTGCTGTCATCACATACCGCTGCTCATCTTGGAGGGCCCTCGGCGCCACGGCTGGCTTCTCCCAGACATCCCGGCCAGCTCGCGCACCCAGAGTGGGCCGCGGAGCCGCGGGATCGGGCACGTGTCGGTACTTTTTTTTGTCCCACGGGGGCTCCAGCCAGGGGTCGTGGCGGCGCAGGGGCCCGGGGTCCCCATGAAGGACGAGGACGACGCATCCTCGCTGAGGGCCCGCAGCTTCATCATGACGCTGGACTTGGTGGCCGCCGTGCTCGCGGTGGACATCGGTGGCGTCGGCGCAAGCCCGGGAGACATCAGCCCCGCCCACTGCGGCGACTGGGCCGGGGTGCCGCCCACAGCTCCTGCGAGGTCCAGCGCCGTGAGCAATCACAGCTCCGTGGCGAAAACACACTGGCCCGAGCTATCTCGACCCCACCTTTTCCTGCCAGATTCGAGCTCGATCGATCCGTGAGGGTCCTGAGGCCAGAAGTGGGACCCAAAGCAGAAGAATAAGGAAATAATAATAATACGAATAATAATGTTGATAATAATAAGAATGATGATAATAATAATAATACTAATAATAGTAATAATGATAATACTAATAAAGTTAATAATAATAATAACAATAATAATACTAGTAATAATACTACTAATAACAATAGTAGTAATAATAAAAATAATAACAATAATAATAATACTACTAATAATAATGATAATGATAAAAATGATGATAATAGTAATACTAATACTAATAATAATAATACTAATAATACCAATAATACTACTACTAATAATAATAAACCTAAGAATAATACTAATATAACAATCAAAAAACACTCAAAGTACTTCAACGAAGGGAAATCGGCATAAACATAAACTTTAGGAGGTCCGCGCGGAGTCTTCGGATATGCGCTGAACCCCCTCCCTGGCGCGCGGATCGCGCCGGGGGCGGCGCCACAGGCGCCGCCATGAGGTCCGAGGGGACGGCGCCGGAGGCGCCGCGCGGGAAAGAGGGGGGGGGGCAGCGCTGGCATGCGACATCCGCGCGCACCTCCAAATCGGTGCTTGCTTGCCTGCCGATTCCGAGGTCCTCAATCGGACTCGGACAATCGAGGGTGCAGCAGGAACACGGAGCATGATGATGATGCTGATGATGATGACGACGACGATGACGATAACGATGGCGATGACGTTGACAGTGATGGTGGTGGTGATGATGTTGGTGATGGTGAAGATGATGAGGATGACGATGATGATGGTGATGCTGATGATGCTGATCCTGCTGCTGCTGATGGTGATGATTTGTTCCTCGGCATCCGGACCAAGCAACGCACAATGTGAAACAAATCGTGTGCAATCGAGGGTCCGGCGCAGAGAGCACCCAATGCTTCTGAACTGCCCCGCATGGGCTCGTCATCCGTGGGTGCTGCACAGGGAGGCGTCCGGCGCACCGTTAGCTAGGCGACGAAAGAATTTCGGCATAAACTGACACTCGACACATGGCCATGCAGCGAACGGAAGTCGAGGCCATTGTCCGCATCGGCTATAGCAGCGTGCGTGCTCGGGCACGGGCGTGGCTGAAAGAAAACCGAGACAGAGCAAGGGGCGCTAGCAATGCGTGTGCGTGCTCAGTGGAGCCAGCGGTAAGCGTCGAGGTCGTTGCTGCAATCGATAGCCAAGCCGTTGACAACCATCAGCGCGCCGTCCTGCTCCCAAACGGGGTGAGAAACGGTGGCGTCGAACACGCGCTCGACGGCCAAGCATGCGATCTCTTCGCTGGTGCCCGTGAGGCGGGTCATCTGCATGGCGATGGCCTCGTTGATGGCGTCGCGGATGTCGACGGGGATAGGTCATCGATGGAGTCGGTCATGGAAGGGTCCTCAGTACCAGCGTAGCAGGTGTCGACAGCCTCATGCTCGCTCGGGCGGCTAATCTCGTGCCTTGTGGTAGAGGTGTGGTAGCACATCAGCTGGTCGCCCTTCGTCTCGGCCATCTCGGCGTACCCGTCCAGCGGCTGGTTCGTGTTAAGCTCGGCCCCGTAACGCAGCTCCTCCTCAACTATGCGGGGGAAATCGCACGCGAACTGCTTGTAGTCGGCGTTAGTCTCGGCCATCTCGGCGTAGTTGGAGTCGGCCATGGAAGGGTCATCCGTGCCAGCGTAGCAGGTGTCAACAATCTCGCGCTCCTTCGAACGGGTGAACTCGTCCCTGGATGCCGAAGTGTGGCAGCACATCAGCTCGTCGCCGTTCGTCTCGAACATCTCGGCGTACATGTCCAGCGGCTGGTTCGTGTCAAGCTCAGCCCAATAGCGCAGTTCCTCCTCAACCGTGTGGGAGAAATCGCACGCGAACTGCGTGCTCTCGTTCAAGCGCTCCTCGATGATGAGCTTTGGCACCTCGTCGGTGACGACGGCGGTGTGCTGTAGGTCATCTGCATGTCGTAGATCCAGTCGGTCCTCTGGTCGTAGTACAATTCCTGGCGGAAAGCCAGTGGCAACACCGATTCGGAAGTGGCGCCGTCGAAGCCGATAACGGTGCGCCTGAGCTCGTGAGCGCCGCCCGACCATGGGGGCGCCACAACGTGTTTCATCCGCCGAAGTCATGTGGTGCCAGGCCTTCTGGCAGTGTTCGGCTGGTGCGCGGCGCCCGCGCGCTGGAGCACCACACGGCGACATGGCGGTGTGCGGGGTATCTTCGGGCCCTCCGCCTCTGGGCTTGGCGGGGGGGGGGCGTTGCAGAAAGGCCGCTACTCCTTAAGAAGGCCTGAACGCGCGGCGGCCTTTGATGGTGATGATGACGATGATGATGACAAGGATTATGCTGCTGATGATGGTGGTGATGGAGATGGCGATGGTGATGGTGAATGGTATGATGAAGATGATGATGCTGTTGATGATGAGGATGATGAAGATTGTGATGATGAGGATACTGGTGATAACGATCGTTCCGCTGATGCACTTGGGCGCACTTTGCCACGGATGCTCGGCTCGCCTGGGACTTGCTGAATGCAGGGGTTAGCTCGTTGGCTTAGCCCTTCTGCTCTCGGGCCCTCGAGGCTCGGATTCACATAATTAGGCGAAGCGAAGGTCGACTGCGCTCATCCTCCGTCCTCCTCCTCCTCCTCCTCCTCCTCCTCCTCCTCCTCTTCCTCCTCCTCCTCCTCCTCCAACCTCCTCCTCCAACCTCCTCCTCCAACCTCCTCCTCCTCCTTCATCCTCCTCTCTTTCCCCCTCCTCTTCCTCCTTACTCTCTTCTGCGCCTCCTCTACTCCTCCTCCTTCCTTTTCTCACCTCACCCATCCTCGTCTCTCTGCGCGAGCGTGCGTGCGTGCGCCCTGCCGCATACGTCCGCCGACACATGGTGCCGAGAATGGGGCAACCTGTGTGGCCAATGAAAAAAGGATTGGCGGCGCGCACCAATGTTTAAGGAAGGGGGGACATCTTCTTATAAGCACCCCTGCTTCTACTAAGAAGGCGCTGGCCCTACATCTATAGATCAGGCCCGGCCCTTCTGAGAAGCAGGCGTGCTTGCAAGAAGCCTTCCTCCCTCCACAATTACTCAATATGAATACTATTACCCCTCTCCCCCTGATAACGGCTTGAAGATATTAGCCCCCCCGCGTACTGTTTTTTTACACACGGGATTCCCTGGAGTTGGGTTTTCGCTTGCTTTTGTTTCCAAAATGCTGCTCTCGCTCAGGCGCCGGCCTCATTTTCGGGCCCCGCTCGTTCCGAATCGTGCTCCCGCTGCAGCCCTGGCCTCATTCCCGTGCTTCCGCTCGTTCCGACTCGTGCTCCCGCTGCAGCGCTGGCGTCATTTCCCGTGCCATGCCACGGTATGCAATGCAATGCTAGGTTGATGCTACGCTTTGCGGTGCTCTGCTACGCCATGCCATGCCGTGCTCTACAATGTATCGCGTACCCTTTCGGGACCATTGCCCTGCTCGACATCCGACTGTGCGAGTAGAGAGGGGATCTACGCCATGGTAAGGGATGAGAGGGAGGGGTAGGATGTCAGATATGACGCGAGCGCACCTAGTCTGCCCTCCCCCCTCTGCGCGTGGCCGGGAGGAGGGTTCGGAGAGGGAACGAACGGACCCACAAACAACCCACCGTGGTTTTTTGTTCGAGAGATTCAACAAAAGACGGCATACGCAAGAAGATTCGGAGCTCCGCGCAGATCCAGGAACCCCCCGCGGAGCTCCGACAATTGTTATAGTTGTGCCATTCTTCCTCTTCGACCTACGGGCTCCTGGACCTCTACTGGGGCGCGCTCTGTCCAGGATCCCGAGGCGAATCCGCCGCGACGGCGAGGGCCGCCCAAGAGGGGGGCCCAGCGCAGACTTGAATTCCAACGTGGGTCTGTTACTATAGAGAAGGTCATGCAACAAACGTTGAAACACATATTATGACGATATATGCATATGAGGTCTGGCAAATCGGGGCGGCATCGACGCGATGCCAAGGGGCGTCGTGGACTCGAGACTTCGGCCTGGAAGCACGAGGCGCACGATTACCCATATCATGAATCTCTGCCCCCGGTCGCAGTGTTCTGGGGGGTGCACGGACACGCAAAACACTGTTAAACTAAGCGTTTGCGGGCGCCGGCCTCGAACTCTTGCCCCATCGCCCGCCTCCTCCCTATATCCCTTCGCTGTGGCCCCACCCTCCTCATGCCCCTCCGACTACCCCCAGTCCTTATCAGGCCCCTCGCCCACACTGTCACCCCCCCATGTGCCAATTCACGTCGTTCCTCGTCGTCCTCATCCGCCGGATGAATTCCCCCATCGTCCGCGTGCTTGCCCTCCTCCCGTCCTCCGCGCCCTAATGCAGATCATGTCCCCTCCTTTTGCCCCCCCCGCCTGCCTCGTCCTCGTGATGCTGGCACCGATGATGCAGCTCCTCCTGGGTCCACTTCCTCCCGTCTCGTCCAATCCCGTTCATCCCCGGCCCCTTGGCCACCCCTCCTATCGAGCCTCTTCGTTCCCACAGCCCACCATCCCCACCCCCCCCCGCGCCTTTGCACTCCCAGACCACGGCCCCCTGCTGGACCAGCCAGGCGACCCGCGGAAACTCTCGCCCAGTGACCACTCCAGCGAGCGGCGCGCAACAAATGCACAGTTCGAGATACGAACTGTGTATTTCGACCGCGCACGACGCCTCCCCTGGACCAGCCGAGCGAGAAACGTGAAAGTTCCCGCCCAATCAACGCCACCCGCGAAGGGCACACTCCAAATACACAGATGGGAACCAGATCTGTGTACACAGATCACACCACGATCTGTCTAGACAATGGGCCCGCACACGAAAATACACAGTTGAAGACGCAAATTGTGTACACAGGTCACACCTTGATCTGTGTATTTCGAAAATGTGAACGCTCGCCACGTCGAGGGCGCCCCGACTTTGCCAACCCAGAACCGAGGTCGACATGCCCAGCCAGGGGGGAATGCAAATACACACTTCCCCGGCCCAGGGCGCCCCCGAAGGAACTGCAAATACGCGCTTCCCTGGCCCAAGGAGGCCACGGCGAAACGCGGCGCCAAAGCGGCCCCCAACGGCCCGAAGACGCCCCAAAAGGCCTCGAAGGACCCCAAAGAAACCCGCACAGCAATCCGAGAACATGAGAGGTGTCACATGTCATGGACCTCTTAATAGTCAAAGCTCCACGCGTCGCCATACAGACCACTGCACTGGCAAGGGGGCGGACCTTGCCGCAAGCACCTATACATTTACATGTTAGCGATGCGACTGCGCTCGGCGGCCGGGTCGCCCGCGTTTGGAGTGCGCCCCGAACGCTCGCATTGGCAATCCTCTCTGTTTGGTTGCGCCGCTTGGCTCGGATATCGAAAAGGCGATACACTGCTGACACGGGCACGCGGCACCAGGAAGTTCACTTTTCGAACAAGGAGGGAAGACGAGGTCGGACGACGGACGGTGGAGCAGGGAGGCAAAGAGGAACGAGAAATAATGGGGGAGGTGGACAGGGGCACTCCCCGGCCCGAGCCGCGGACGCTTTCGACGTCATCCAAGGGTGGAAGGAAGGAAGGACAACGGAACGAGGGCGAGGACGACGACGGGAAGCAAACTGTCATGGGTTCGCATATAGCCATATGCTTGCGATTCGGGTGCCGCGTGCTTTCTTCGAGGCGCGTCAAGCCCGACCCACACTGAATTCACTAATTCCTCCAAACTGTGTAAACACCCTGTCGTCTGTACCCCCTCCTATACAACTGTTTCAGAACAGAGGGGCAGTGGATTCCAAGCGCAGACCCAAGAAGTCCGCGCGGAACTCCGAACATTTGCGGGTTGTGCCACGGTTTGCTCCTCGTTTCTTCTGCCACGTCTGAGCCCCGAAGGTCCTGCAGGGACGGCGGCGTTTCCGCGCCCGCCGCCGAGGCTCCCCGCGGCCTTGGTCAAGCTCTTCGCCCCCGTGGAGATCGCCGCCGCCACCGCGGCCATCCTTTGCGCGCGCGCGCGGGCGAGCGGGAAGGGGAAAATCGGGTGGACCTCAGGTCGCCCCCTGGGGCCCACGCTCAGGGGGACAAGCGGCCACAATGGCTGCGCTGGGACAGACGAGGGCCACAGCGCGTTGGTAAGAGGGGCCCCTGGCCCTGGCCCTGGCCTCAAGGGCCAAAAGGGGATGCTGCGTGGAGGGGGCCTTCGAGAGCCGAGAACCGACCTCCCATGACTGCGTTCCGACCAGGATTTTGAGGCGGATCCAGCGGCGGCCACGAGGGGAACCCCCTCGGGTCCGAAAAGGCGGAAGCGATCCAAAACTTCCATCCCAGACCCCCCGGCGTCGTGATTGTTTCGCCGGGCCCCCTAGAGATCTCGACCCTGGCTAGTCGTCCTGAGCCGCTTTTTGACAATCCTGTGCCCCAGCTCGCCCGTCCGCCCTACATGTGCTGTCGTCGCCCCCCGCGTCCCCCGTCCTGCGTCGCTCCTTTGCTGCTGTCGTCCCCTGTCGCTCTCCCTCCTGCTTCCCCCAGTTCTGGGCTCGTCCCAGTCCACAGGTGTCGCTACTTCCTCTGCCCCCTGCTGCCACTGCTCTCCCGGGTTGTCCACATGTGGGCCTTTTGGCGAGAGGGATGCGAACGACAGCGTTTCAGACGTTCTTTGCCTGTGGAGCCGTGGATGCCGAGAGGCTCGCATTGTTTTCGCATTGTTTCACAGCCTCTTGCGGCGGTTATGCCGGAGCTGCTTTTCCTGCCAGTGCACCTCTGGCCTGCACGGCGTCGTTCTTATCATTATTCGTATTCGTCTTCTTCTTCTTCTTCTTCTTCTTATTCGTCTTCTTCTCTTCTTTTGGGCAACACATCGCACACCATGATTTCGCGGCGCGAGGGGGTTTGATCGTCGATCCCGATGTTCTTATTGACTGTCGCTTTCGGCCCGTCCCACCAGCCCTCTGGGCGGTGGTCTGAAGCGTTTCCTCTTCCGACCCCCTTCTTGCTCCTCGGGGAGTGGGTGCATAGTTGCTCCGCGCTGATGAACACCCCCTTCCCCGCCCGACCAGCGGCAAACCCGAAATCGCCCCCCCACCCCCCCACAGCCCCTGTGTTGCGACAACGCTTTGGACCATGTGCGGGCGCCCCGCCATCACTTTGAAGTGTTGCTTGACAGGAACGGTGGAGAGACTCATACTGTCTGGTTCGTGCAAGCACACCATCCCTGTCAAAAACAATGCAAACTTATTGCGGGTGCACACGCCGTACACCATGATGGCCACCTCGCCGCCTTGCTGCATTAAATTTTGATAGGGATGGAGGGGACCGACATGTCTCCCGATGTGTGCTGCCACACAGGTGCACCGGCACACCTGGCGCGTGTGGAGCACGTGGCGCACCTGGCGCAGGTGGACCACGTGGAGCATCTCGCGCACCAAGCGCGCCTGGCACGCCTGGGCCCCTGGGGCGCCTGGCGTACACGGGGTACGCGTGGCGCACCTGGCGTCTGTATTGGCTTTCAATGGGTCTAGACGGGGGCGGGCCCGAGGCGTCGGAGCACCTCAGATGCCCTAGCATGGCTCTGATAGGGCCCAAAACGGCATCCAAGATGGCTCAATGTTGCTCAGGACGGTTCAACATCGCGTCCACGACGGCTGCCAACATCCCAAAAGAGGGTCCAGCACGGCTCCAAATGGCCTCTGGGCCTTCCGAAGACGCTCCCGAGATGCCCAAACCCTTCCAAAACCTTATTAGACACAACCGATGCTCGCCTTCTCTCTTTGTCGTCTTCAACTGGCCTCAATTGATGCCTCAAGATGACTCCAGGATGGCCCAAGAGAGCCCCAAGATGAGATTTCTGGGGCTCCAGAGGGGCAAGATGAATGAATGATCCCGTCGCCATATCATTGTCAGGCTTTTGGGTCAAGATGGCTCCAATGATGGCTCCATATAGCTCGAGGAAGGCCTCCAAGATGACCTCCAAGATGGGCCAGGATGGCTCAACATGTTCTCTAAGGTGCCCCCAAGAGACCCACACGCCGTCCCCGAGATGCACACAGTCCACCCAACACTGGTTGAAAGTATGTGAGTTTGGCTTTCTCGCCGTTTCGCTTCCGATGAGCTTCTGAGGTCTCAAGATGGCTCCAAGATGGATCAGGAGAGCCCCAAGCGAGCTCCGAGAGATCCCCACCAGGCGACCTTTCGCGCTCCACGGGGGCGAGGCTGCCTGGGACCTCTCGGTCGTGGATTCATGTTGTCGAATTTATGGCCCCAACAAAGACGCAACAGGGCCCCAATTGTGCATCCAAGGCCACCAAACATTGCGTCAAGAAGGTCCCGAGATGGCTCCAACAAACTCCCTGAGCGAAATATCCGCAAATGCCTTGATGGCTTCATGGCTCTCGTCGTCCTCGTCTCCTTCGTCCCCCGATCCATCTCAACCTGATCCTCACTATCCTCATCCAACCTCCCACCTCACCCCCCTCCTCCACCACTTCCTACTCTTCACCCTCCTCCTCCTCCTCCTCCTCCTCCTCCTCCTCCTCCCGAAGTTGAGTGGAAACGTGTTCTGTCAAACACATCCTCCTTCTGCTCGCTTTCCTCCTCCCCTCATTCCACGTTCTTCTCTCTTCCTCCTCCTCCCCCTCCTCCTCCTCCTCCCCCTCCTCCTCGTCATCCCTACTCCTCCTTCTGCTCCTCTTCCCCCTCATCTTCTTCTCCTCTTCGTCACCCCGCCTCCCCCCTCCCCTTCCGCCTCCTCATTCGACAGGGACGCGAAGGCGCACGTGGCTCACTGCTGGCCCGTGCTGATTTAGCACCCTGGATTAACGGCCCCTTCTGCGCGCTCGCCCGATCACCGCAGCTCGCCTAAGCACTGGTGCCCCTCGTTCCTCGTCACGGTCCTCCTCTTCTTCGTCCCCCCTCTACTGCGACCACTACGACTACTTCGACTTCTACGACGGCATTCACTACCACGGCTACTACTACTGCTACGACTACTGCTACTGCAATTACTGCTGCGTCTACTACTACTACTACTACTACTACTACTAGTACTACTACTACTACTACAACTACTACAACTACTACTACTACTACTACTACTACTACTACTACTACTATACACTACTACTACTACTAACTACTACTACTACTACTACTTACTTACTTTTACTGCTACTGCTAACTTGAATATACTCCTACTCCCCCCTCAGGCCGGCAGATAGCGGGCGCATCCGGGTGGTCCCATCCTAACCTGTAAAAAACAATACAAAATCAACATTTTTCTTATTTTTTCCTCTCGACATGGACGTCCTGTCGTCCACGGCGATAATCCATTGCAAAAAATACCACAAAGAGCACACGCGCGCGTTCATGTCAGAATCCTACCGAACACCGTGTGTTTGCAAGCATTTCAACATAAAAACATCAAAAACCCAATGTTTTTTTTTTTTCACAAAAAATTGTACAAATTTCCCGCCCGGGCTCTCTTGCTGAAATCATAGGAAAACCATAGGAATCTTAAGAATTCGGTCAAATCCAGCGATTTCACGTCATCGCGCGGTGCACTCGCGATGCTCTGTCATGCACCCAGGCCGCGAATCCTGTGCAAAAAATATTACAAAGAGCACACTCGCGCGTTCATGTCAGAATCCTACCGAATACCGTGTGTTTGCAAGCATTTCAACATAAAAACATCAAAAACCCAATGCTTTTCACAAAAATGCTTTGGGGTGTCCTGTCAGACCGTCGGGCTTCCTCCGGCCACCTCTGGCTTCCTGCGGTGTACCGGGCCATTCTCGACTCGTCTGGCAACGCGTGCGCGGCATTCAACACGCGCTCGCCAGTTCCCGTCGGCAACCGCCATCGCGGCCGCATCAGCTGTACCAAACCGGCTGGCCGGTGTGACTTCGGCCCCCAGTTGTGCCAGCTTTGCTTCTTATGTTGTGGGAGGGCGGGTGGGACTGGGCATGCCATGCTTGACTCGCTCGAGCTGGCTAGCTTGACTCTACTCTTACTCTTACTCTTACTCTTACTATTTATTACTCTTACTCTTACTCTTACCTTACTCTTACTCTACTCCTCTTACTCTTACTACTACTACTACACTACTACTACTACTACCACCACCACCACCACCACCACACCACCACCACCACCACCACCACCACCACCACCACCACACCACTACTACTACTACTACTACTATACTTACTACTAACTACTACTACTACTACTACTACTACTACTACTACTACTACTACTACTACTACTACTACTACTACGACTACGACTACGACTACGACTACGACTACTACGACTACTACGACTACGACTACGACTACGACTACGACTACGACTACGACTACGACTACGACTACGACTACGACTACGACTACGACTACGACTACGACTACGACTACGACTACTACTACTACTACTACTACTACTACTACTACGGCTACTACTACCAACACCACGACGACTACTACTACTACTACTACTACTACTACTTTTGCGACTACAGCAACAACAACTACTTCTACTACTGCTACTACTATTACTACTACTACTGCTGGTGGTGCTGTTACTACTATTACTCCTACGACTAGTACTACTACTACTACTACTACTACTACTACTACTACTACTACTACTACTACTACGGTTGCTGCTACCACTACTACTACTACTACTACTACTACTACTACTACTACTACTACTACTACTACTACCACTGCTGATGTAAGTACTATTTTTTTTCTCGATGGCGCTTTACCCAACGGGGCCGGGACATCCGGTCTGCGCGCCATCAGCAACGAGTAGCCTAAACTCGCCGGTCTTGTTTGTCATGTAATAAGCTGCCACTCATCACCGCGCTTGCTAGATATAAAGGCCAAACCATTAGCTTGCACATGGCTACTCGCTAGTCACAGCCACGAGGGCTCAAAAACCGACCGGGCCGAGGGCCGCTCACAGCCTGCGCCGCAGGCAGTTGAACCCCTGCACAAGAGGGGCTCATACGTGACTCACTGATCACGTGCCCTCTTCATTTCCACCACCACCTCCGACGTAAGCACTGAAGACGTTCATCTCAGCGGCATCGGGGACCCTCTGGAAGTTCGCGATGGCCATCAGCAGGTCGCCCACCGCGGCTGGGCTAGCGACTTGGGCGTTGGCCAGGGCCTCAGCCAAAGGGAACGCGCCAGAGCCGATGACCCTGGTGTTCCTAGCGCAGGCGTTGAAGTTCTTGGCACAGGCCACTGCCTTCATGGAGCGCCCTGAGTCCGCGAACCTGGCCTTCGCGAGCTCGGGCTTAGCCTTCTTCAGCATGTACGCAATGTCGCAGATATAGGTGCTGAGCTGCGGGTGGCGCAAGGAGAAAGGCTCACGCGTGCACCTCGCAGGCTCCACAGCTCCGGGCATGAAGGCGTGCTGGGACAATATCATGGACGGGTCCGCCAGGTCGTGCTGCAGCTCGTCCAAGGCAATGATGAGCAGGTTGAAATGGGACTCGATCTCCGGGCAGTAGTTCACCTCCATTGCGGCAGTCAGGCACCTCGCGACGAATAGGGCCCGGGTCTGAGTGTGGTGCCACGGAACCACTTGGAAAGTTGCCACCCGGGCAACCAAGGCCTCGTGCGCTGTGTCCAGATAGGGAGGACGGGCGACGACTCCATCCCTCTCCGAGAGGAAGATCCTGATGTAGCCCAAAGTTGGTGCGGAGTTGTCAATAAGAGCCTTCAGCCTCTCATGAATAATGCGAGTGTCTTCGTCATTCGCTGCAGCCAGGACGCAGTCGGCCAGGTAGCCAAGGAGCAACCAGTACCAGGTTGGCCAGAAGACAGCATGATCGAACTCCCTGATCAGCCCCACAAGGGCAGGACTCTCCTGGATGAGCTTGTCTTTGCTCATCATGTGTTTCTCGCCAAAGCACCTCTTGACCATCTTTCTCACTTCAGCCCCTTCTGTGGATGACAAGATCTCTTCGGACGACATCTTCTCAGTGGCACTGACCATCAGGAACAGCAGCACCTCAGACTGCAAAGGGTGACCCATGTGCTGTGTCGTGCCATCGAAGACTGCCATGTACTTAGTGACCTTCGCGGTATCCATAGGCTCAGTGGCAAGTGCCCCAGCGGGAATCTCGTTGTTGTCCAGCCGAGTGCTCTGCATCAGCTGCATGTAGGCAAGAGCCGCTGTGATAACCGCGCCAGGGCCATCAGGCTGGGCAAACAACGGCTGTAGAAGCGGGTCGAGCAAGAAGCGTGTCTCAAAGAGGCTTGCCTGCAGCGCCAAGCTGGCGGGGGCTGCGATCTGCATCTGAGAGACCTGGGCCCACCCGGCGTCGGCTCCGAAACCGAGGAGAGCTCCGAGATTGGTTTCGCGTATGGTGTCTTGGACCGCGGCGAGAGGGGCGCGAGCTCCGTTTCCAACTGTGGCCCACTTCCCGTTCAGCACAGCAGCATGCCCCGTGCCGGTGAGCACGCGCACTTCGTCCAGAGGCGCCTGCCCAACACCACCTACTGCTGATGTAACTATTAGTGATACTGCTTCTGCTTCTGCTGCTACTACTACTACTACTACTACTGCTACTGCTACTGCTACTGCTACTGCTACTGCTACTGCTACTGCTACTGCTACTGCTACTGCTACTGCTACTGCTACTGCTACTGCTACTGCTACTGCTACTGCTACTGCTACTGCTACTGCTACTGCTACTGCTACTGCTACTGCTACTGCTACTGCTACTGCTACTGCTACTGCTACTACTACTACTACTACTACTACTACTACTACTACTACTACTACTACTACTACTACTACTACTACTACTACTACTACTACTACTACTACTACTACTACTACTACTACTACTACTACTACTACTACTACTACTACTACTACTACTACTACTACTACT